ACCAATAATGTCACATTTTGATGAAATACAAATAATGTAAAAAATTTTTTAATGAACTTGTTTTTATTCAAAACTTTAATGATCAAACTTAACACCGTTATGTGTGAAGGAGATTGAATGTCAGCAAAACCTGCAAAGAAGATATATATAAGTATTCAGTCTCCTATTTCAGTACTTCGTGGAAGCACTTTTGGCAGCAATTACTGCTGTGAGTATTTTTGGATAGGTCTCTACCAGGCTTGCACAATGGATGGAGTAATTTTTGCCCATTCTTCCGGGCAAAATTGCTCCAATTCTGACAAGTTTGTTGGGGGTCGTTGATGGACTGCAATCTTCAAGTCTCACCATAAATTTTCCATTGGATTCAAGTCAGGACTCTGACTGGGCCACCCCGGATCATTCACTTTCTACTTTTGAAACCACTCCAGTGAGGCTTTGGTCTTGGGCTTCGGATCATTGTCCTGCTGAAATGTGAATTTTCGAACCCAGTTTTAGATTTTTGACTGGCTCAAGCAGGTTTTCATCTAGGATTTGCCTGTACTTTGCACCATCCATCTCTCCCTCAATCCTAACAAGCTTCCCAGTTCCTGCTGATGAGAAGCATCCCCATAACATGATGCTTCCATCACCATGCTTGACAGTTGGGATGGTGTTGACTGAGTGATGTACTGTGTTGGGCTTCCGCCAGATGTAACACTTTGAATTTAGACCAAGAAGCTCAATTTTTGTCTCATCTGACCACAAAATTTTCTGCCACATGTCTGCAGTATCATTTACATGTTTGGTCATAAACTCCATACGAGATTTAAGATGATTCTTTTTTAGTAATGGCTTCTTTCTTGCCACTTGCCCATACAAACCAGCTTTGTGTTGGGATCGGGATATTGTCAATGTATGAATGCTGACTTCCATATCAGACATGGAACTCTGCAAATCTTTCAAAATCACTATTGGATTCACAGTAGTATCCCTAACCAGCTTCTTGCTTGCCTGGCTGCTTAGTTTGGAAGGACAGCCTGATCTGGGTGATATAAAACATCTTCCACTTCTTAATGATGGACTTCACCACACTCAAAGGGATAATCAGCAACTTTGAATTATTCTTGTAACCTTCTCCTGATCTGTGTTTCTCTACCACTTTATCCCTAGTTGGTTTGTCATATCACAATGTGAGTTGTGGCTTCAACAGATGCATTTGCTCTGAAGTCAAGTTAAACCATTCTGATTACACACAGACAGAGACCATTACACTAATTTTGTGACCTTTCAAACTAATCTTTTGCACCTGAGCTGATTTAGAGTTGCCACAGCAAAGGAGTTGAATACTTATACAATTGAAAATATTCTAATTTTTATTGAAAATCTAACTTACTTATATAATATCTGCGTTTTTGTAGCTTTCACAGTTTGGAGTAGATTGTGTAGATTCTACATATAAAGTTCTTTTTGAAAGTTTCATGATTGCAAGCTCTGACAGGAATAAAATATGGAAACTTTGCAGGGGGTGAATACTTTTGCAAGGAACTGTATATGTATACATATATTATATGTATATGTTTTTCTTTTCAGAGAAAATATAATTATAGTAATAATAGAATATTTAAGTTCTAAAGTTTCAAGAAATCCTCTTGCAAAATTAAAGTTGATAATATTGTCTTATTAGCATTAGCACATTTTTACTTAATTTTCTTAAACTCACCAAGGGAGTCTCTGCTTCTGGCACAAATCTTGGTGTGTAATAAAACTTACAAAAGTCTTCATGAAAATCTGATGGCCTAGGAATCTTTGTTTGGTTCAGATTAGTCACTTCTTCCTGTGAAACCTACACAAAAAAGAAATTATAGTTTGTTAGAAGATTACTTTTAATATCCTTAATGAACATTTTAGAAGATTAAATCAGACCAGATAGGAATTAAATCCAGTTAAATCTGATCAGGTCTGAGCTGAGTCAGACCAAATGTAGACTAAAGCCAATTTATCTGGTGAGGTCTACAGGATTTATCCAAACAAGGATTGAATCATATAAATCTGGTCTAAGTCCAGTTAACTTTGTGATATTTGGAGATAGAACACTTGATAAGATATCTGGTTCAGCTAAATTGAGATCTATAACAATCTAGATTGTACATATTTATTATATATGTGTATTAACATATTATATATATGTCAAACATGTGTATTATATATATGTCCCAATGTGTATTAACACATTATATATATGTCAAACATGTGTATTATATATATGTCCCAATGTGTATTGACATATTATATATATGTCCCAATGTGTATCAACATATTACATATATGTCCCAATGTGTATTAACATATTATATATATGTCAAACATGTGTATTATATATATGTCCCAATATGTATTAACTGCAAAACACCCTTAAAAATGTAATTACAGTATTATCTTATAAACACCAAATTTCTTTTTGTATCTTTACTATTAATTGCTTACCTCTGTCCTAAACATCATACTGTAATAATGATAAAATTCAGTAACAATGGAGCTCTTACCTTCATGTGATACATCATTAATTCATTGGAAAGCTGACTTCTGTGTTGTCCATCCCTTACCTTCTTCCACATGAGGGACTGTTTAGAAGTATTAACAATTTAAACAGTTAATAACAAATAAATAACTGTGAAGTGGTAGAGATTAATTTTCAAAATCTATATATACCAACTTACATGTAATTTATTGTCACTTAACTGGCTATCATTGTAATGATAACATTCTATTTAATACTTTACAACAGTTCGATACCAGCTACTAGCTTGCTGCCTCCTTAAACGCAAGTACAATGAAAAATCATTACAATATAAACGTGAATATTCTGTCATTTTTTTTGTTTGTTTGTTTCATGAAATCCCATAGATCGGCAAGGTGGCTGTGATGGACCAGTTGTTGAGAAAGACTAGAAGATTCTTTTTTTTTTTGAAAGAGTACACATGCATGTGCATAATAATAATGGTATTTTTTTTTTATCACCCCCATACATCAACTTTATGTGTTAAAAATCTACCTTCTTTATATCTGTGTGCAAATACTGTTCTTCTTCAGACAAAATCTTATTAACCCATGTTTTAAACAAGTGGGAAAAAATTCATATATATATATATATACATCACGTATAATAGTTAAACAAACCTCTGCCGAAAAGTCACGTCAGTGTAGCCTATATAATGTGTCACACAACGAGACACATATTCGGCATGTAATGTTGTTTGAATACAAGAAAGGAAACAATGCCTCTGTAGCCACAAAGAATATCAAAGAAGTTTACGGAAATGTCTTGAACAATCGTAAGTGTCAATGAGGGTTCAGCAAAGTTTGTTCAGGTGACTTTAGCCTTAAAAACTGTGATGGCAGGAGCTGACATGTTGGAATTGATGCTGATGCTCTGAAGATGCTTCTTGAGTCTAACTCAAGACAACACACTCATGAAATGGCCCTGAAATTGCATGTCTCTCATGAAGCAATGTGTAAACATCTAAGAAATATGGGAAAACTCCATAAACAAGGTGTTTGGGTGCCTCACAAACTCTCTGATGATCATCTTTTCCAACATGTGAATGTTGCTTTGTCTCTTCTGGCACGTAATGTGAATGAACCATTTTTGGACAGAATTGTCACCAGTGATGAAAAATGGATTCTCTATGCAAATATTAAATGCCAAAAACAATGGCTCAGTCATAGACAAAAACCACTTCCGACACCAAAAACCTGGATTTCATCTGCAG